AAAAAAAAAAAAAAAAACAAAGTGAAGCAGAATCGCTTTTTATAATAAAGCGTTCGCTTTTTCGCTTTTTTCGCTTCTTCGCTTTTTTCTCGCTTCGCTCACGTTCGCTTCGCCTGGGGTCCTCCAGGCGAGATAAGCTCGCCTCGCCTCACTTCTCGCCTAGGCGAGCTTTTCAAAACACTGTTATGGAGAGAAAGAGGTAAGAGTTCGTTTCTGGGAGGATAGGTTGGTGGGGTGGTCATCTTTGTCCTACTTGTTTTCAAGCCTCTATAATTTATATAGCTATCATGGTGTTTCCATTGCTTTTATGATGCGGTCTTACGACCATCTCTATAATTAAGAGTTTGGATTTCGTAAGAACCTTGATGATAGAGACACGAGGGAATTGATATCTTTGGTTGATATTCTTAATGACTCTTTGTTAACTCGAGGTCTATCACGAGGGAATTGATATCTTTGCTTGATATTCTTAACAACTCTTTGTTAACTCGAGGGCCTTTCAATGAGAGAAGGTGGATTTGTGAGCCTTCAGGTGTTTTGTCTTGTAAGTCCTTCTTTGATTCTATTATTGACGATTACTCTTGTCCTTTATTTATGTCTGTCGTCAAGTTTATGTATGACCTACTCCACATGGTAAGATTAATACTAATGCTTCAGCAAATGAGACCTCATTCTTGTTTTTCCCCTCAATAGTGTGTACGATATGTAAAGGAGCATCGATAATTTATTTTCACATTGATGCTTTACTTAGTTTTTGTGGAAAAAGGTGTTTACCTTAGTGCGCTTAACTTGGGTGTTTTCCATGTCATCCACATCATTGTTTGTTGAAGATTTGAAAGGTCTTGGGCGGAATGAAAAAGGAGTGACTTTGTGAAATTGTGTTGTTATGGCAACCAAGGATTTTCGAAGATAGAAACGAGGATCTAAATGGTTTATGAGATCATATTCATTTATAGCCTCATTTTAAGCTTCATTTTCTTCAGCCTTCAAAGGAATCCCACTTTTATTATTTTGGCAAGATGGAAAGTTAGATGTGATTTATGAGTTCTTTTCATGTATTTCTTTTGGTTGTGCTTTTCTTTCCCTTGGTTGGACTTCTTATCCAGCCTTTTTCATGTACTGATTGAATTGTATTAATTCAAGTTTTCCGTTGCCTTAAAAAAAAAAAAAAAAAAAAAGGGTTACAATTTGGGTAACCTAAATTGTGGGTCAATTTGAGGTTCTTCGGGGTCGTGCGACTCTGGGTCATGGGACGCTTAATCCTGATACCCTTCCCACTTAGTCCCAATATCCCTTCAACCATAAAAGTTCTCATTATGCAAATTTATCCCCAACTCAAGCAAAAGAATACCTAATTGATCTTTCTCAAAATATTAATGTTTCATTATAATGTATACACTGTTTATCTCTGCCAAAATTGAATTGCAACATTTTACTGCTAAAAACTAAAGGTAATAGGCAATCATCGACTGCACAGGACTTACCTCAGGGTTTAGAAAAGCAAAGTTCAACTAATCAGTTTTAAACGGTATAGCATAAATATATACTGATGCTAATGACTTACCTCAGGGTTTAGAAAAGCAAGTTCCCTTATTCGTCCAGCTATGGTATTGTAGTCAAACTGAATTGAAGTCGTGAACACTGCCGAAAAAAAGTCGGACAGAAAACATATAGCTCCCCAAATTCAGTTATTCAGTCATGGACAGATAATGGACACACGCATGTGCGCTGTAAACACACAAGATTAACCTTCTTTATCAGGCCAAAACCTTATCCGTGTCCCTTCACGATCTTTTGATTCTTTAGGAAGCTCATGACATAACAAAGTCGTCATAGGCTTCCCACGAGAATATTTCTGCTGGTACTCCTTTCCATCACGCCAAACAGTAACTTCTAATGCCTGTGTACCAAAAATGACAGAAATAATCAGCAAGCAATGCATGAATGTGGTACGATCCCTTCTAATGGTCAACTAAGTTGAAAATCCAAACATAAATGTTGTCAAAGACATAAAAAGAGTATGAATTCTAAGTAGTTTGAAGAAGGTTCTTTCCTTTTCTAGTCATTCAAGCCACTCTGATATAGCATTTCCTCTTTCCCATTCAGACCAACAGGAGAGTTCAGACTTTTATAAAACAAGAAGCTCCACCGATTTTTATCCCCCCCAAAAAAAATGAAGCTCCATTGATTGAACATCAGGCGCTCCTAACCTTTCAGTACCACTTTATTTCATCTCAAGTGCGACAATCAGGTGCCAAAAATAAGAATAAAATTTTTCATCTGAACAGTTTTCTGGTTAGTTAATTGGATTTGGAACCCATCTGGAAAATGCTGAAAGCACAAGCTTCCAGAGGTGGGCTAACCTCTTTAGTGGGCAGAGGTAGATAGACCCTAAAAGTTACATGCCCACAAATAGAATGCAAAATGACAGTACAAACCACAATATATTTCTCAATCTTATTAAAGAAAGATGAACAAATGGAGTTTTGAGATAAGAAGTACCTCGGACAATGCATTAACAACAGATAAACCCACACCATGTAATCCACCTGAGACACTGTAACCACTACTTGAACCACCAAATTTGCCACCTGCATGCAAAACCTGCACCATTTGATGAAACCACATTATTCAATATATTAGCATATCTCATATTAACCGATCAACTTTTATTATTAAATTTATTTCTTATCAGCTACAAATATATGAGTATGATACATATCAGACTGTCATCCGTACTCATGCGTTTTTGTAAACGTTATACATATGCCTCGATAAATATGTTGACGAGTCCTTAGCATGTATGGGTTAGACAAGCGCTCTTGCATTTTCACACTGCCTTTGTCTCTCTCTAGACTCTCACTGTAGAACTCTCACTTTAACTTTCTCCAGATTTCTCTTCCCCCCCACCTCTCCGTCTCTCTCTCTCTCTCCCTCCAGAATACTCTATCCACTGCTCAAGCTTGCCGCCTCATGAAGGGGCTTGGAGAAGACTGTTGAAAAAGCTTTGTCTGCCACGTTTTCTTCAATTCGGTTTAACCGACCCACAGCAACACTATATGGGTCTTTGAATCACGGTCGTGTGTAGTGTGAAAAGACATGAAAACTTTGTAATTAGGAAGTGTCAAGTCAGGTTTGTGTCCGGTGTATTATGTAAGAGTGGAGCATCTGGTTGTGGTCTTGACTTTGAAAGGTCTGTCGGTACCCTCTGTTCTGTACACTTGCAACCGTCCCACTACCCTGGTGATAATAAAAGTTTTCCCTTAGTTGTGTGCCAATACACTCTTGAACCAACAGTAATTATTTTGCACATAATATTCATTGCACACTGCCTTAGTGAGATTTAGAAATGGACCATGATAATAATTCCCGTCCACAGACTTCGGAATTAGATGTATCTAACAATTTGTCAATTGTCAAGCCTTGATTCAGATATATGTATCCTCATCCTTGCAACAGAGCTTATATATAGAAATCTGAATGCTTCTTATTTCTGGTGGCAAAAGAAAAAGAAAACCTGATAAACGAGCACAACAAAAACTAAAAAGGAGTGAATAATGAGACTAAATGATGTAAAAGACAAGTCAAAGGAAAACACAAGAACTTTGTGTCACATTTCAATAACCATAACATCTGCAAGCATATAATGTAATGACATCATATGCCGACCACTGATATGCCTTGAAAAACTTCCAGAATATAAAGATTTTTTTTTTTTTTTGTTGACAGGACCAGAATATAAAGCTTGTGTGCTTCATCTAACCAGAGGGATGGAACAATAAAGGCAGGACTCATTCTGAGGGATGGAGGCACTAAGAAACAATCCTGTCTATATCACCACTCTTTTCCTTCCCCTTGCTCCCATACTTCTTATATCAGTTTTAAATGATATCAACTCTGTCTAAGGAGGCCCAACCAACATTTGATTCAGCGATCATCAAATCAAAAGAATGAATCACAAAATTACAGAAAGTGAAAAAAAAACTCTGATCACATAAACTCTAAAATAGTAAAATCTACCTTATACATAAATTTCAAACTGAAATGGTACTTAAACCACATTACCGTCAACACAGTCTCCAAAGCAGACCTTTTGGTTGCCGGATGCAAGTCAGTTGGAATCTGCAATGCACAACGATACATGGAAGCAAGTGAACATAGTTTTAAGGACATACAGCAAGCCAGCAAAGCTGAGATTTTACTCGCCTTTTTTCTTTTGCTAATTTGTGAACTTATGTGAGACCCATTATTCATTGCATTTTAAGCCATCCACAACTACTTTTTCATATATATGCATTCAAAGTTCTGCAATTACAGCTGCACCACTGAAGGTAGCAGGCTAAAACAGTGTGTGCAGTAGCACGGTAGTCATATTAATATGTGCATATCATATCCACCTCAAGAGAGTTGTCACAATAGTCTTCTCTGACTTACTGAGAAAGGTTTTAACAGGGAAATTTCAATTTAACTAACTCAAGTGTGAACAGAGACATTACGATTATTATACACACACCACCCCTGTATATACAAGGTATTAAAGTGTATGTGTGTGTGCTTGTGTACACACACACACACACACACACACATATATATAGAGAGAGAGAGAGAGAAACTAGAACATATGTTAGCATATCAGAATGAAAATACCTCGACAATTAGAGAAAGTCCAGAAACTATTCCTCAAATCATCATGTGCCCTTCTAGGCAATGAAGCAATGTGTGCATGAAAAGCAATTATTGAATCGCATTGCAGGACATTGATTTTATATATCCACAACAGAACTTTATATACACTACACAAATCATGTCTAAAAATTTTCTTTGACGACTTGCACTAGAAAAATTTTCCAATAACAAATAACAGAGGAGAAGGCTTTGTTTGGTTTTAAACCAGACAAATTCCACTAATCAACAAAAGCAGAACATAGCACATACCCCACGCCCGTTGTCAGTGATGCTGACAGAATTATCCTCATATAGGACAACATCTATCTTTGAAGCAAATCCTGCTTGCGCCTCATCAATAGCATTATCTAATATTTCATAAACCTAAAAGGAAGCACAATCCATGAGCTTGGCAACTTAATCTAGTTCAAATGAACTTAGTAGTTTAGCAAATTAAATGGCATTAACATTGCAAATAACATATATGGGAAGAAGATACCAAATGGTGCAAACCACGAAGTCCAGTGCTTCCAATATACATTCCTGGTCTTTTTCTAACAGGGTCTAAACCTTGCAATACCTAATATTAGGCAGGCATCATTAGAAAATAAATTAATACTAGTGGAGTAAAGTTTCAATGGATGCATCTAAACAATGATTTCATTCCTCAAAACAAAAAAGAATGTTGTAATGCATTATTAATGGGCATTGACGAGAAATTAGATCTCAAAAATGGTAATATGAAAGCAATTCAAACTATTAATGTCATATGTTAACAACATAACACTTATGTTCATATTCTGTCCTTATGTTCGATTCTTCTTTCTTCTTTTTATCTGCTATTGATCTCTCTTTCGTGAAACAAAAGCACATGGAAGACTTCATCAATCTCAATATTGGAGACTAACAACTAAGACAGTTAGGTAGTTCCCATTCAACCAGAACAAGAAACAAATTTCTAGTGATGGCAATGTTTTACTTGTTGTGTAGAACTCATCAGCTGATAAATTCAGCTTTCTGGTTCCTTGAAATTTGTCATTAAGAAAAAAGCGTTGGTCATATCACGTCATTCGGAATTTGTGCTGATATAATCCAAACAAAGGACAGGGTTTGTTAACCAAGGAAGTAACATCTCTCCTCTCCCTAATATGGAGAACTCAATGTAACAACTCAGCTTTGAAGAGCAGATATCAAAGCAAAGATATATGTAATCTGACTTGGTCAGATCAAAGATAACTACTATATGGCTTATTAGGGGTGCAACTCGGGCGGGTTGGACAATCAACCCTAGCCCAACCCTAAGTATATAATCTTTAACCCTAACCCTAACCCGAGTTGGGAAACTCAACCCGAGCATTGCCCGAGTTTAATTCAGGCGGGCTCGGGTTGATGATTTCAGGCTGNTGCAGGACATTGATTTTATATATCCACAACAGAACTTTATATACACTACACAAATCATGTCTAAAAATTTTCTTTGACGACTTGCACTAGAAAAATTTTCCAATAACAAATAACAGAGGAGAAGGCTTTGTTTGGTTTTAAACCAGACAAATTCCACTAATCAACAAAAGCAGAACATAGCACATACCCCACGCCCGTTGTCAGTGATGCTGACAGAATTATCCTCATATAGGACAACATCTATCTTTGAAGCAAATCCTGCTTGCGCCTCATCAATAGCATTATCTAATATTTCATAAACCTAAAAGGAAGCACAATCCATGAGCTTGGCAACTTAATCTAGTTCAAATGAACTTAGTAGTTTAGCAAATTAAATGGCATTAACATTGCAAATAACATATATGGGAAGAAGATACCAAATGGTGCAAACCACGAAGTCCAGTGCTTCCAATATACATTCCTGGTCTTTTTCTAACAGGGTCTAAACCTTGCAATACCTAATATTAGGCAGGCATCATTAGAAAATAAATTAATACTAGTGGAGTAAAGTTTCAATGGATGCATCTAAACAATGATTTCATTCCTCAAAACAAAAAAGAATGTTGTAATGCATTATTAATGGGCATTGACGAGAAATTAGATCTCAAAAATGGTAATATGAAAGCAATTCAAACTATTAATGTCATATGTTAACAACATAACACTTATGTTCATATTCTGTCCTTATGTTCGATTCTTCTTTCTTCTTTTTATCTGCTATTGATCTCTCTTTCGTGAAACAAAAGCACATGGAAGACTTCATCAATCTCAATATTGGAGACTAACAACTAAGACAGTTAGGTAGTTCCCATTCAACCAGAACAAGAAACAAATTTCTAGTGATGGCAATGTTTTACTTGTTGTGTAGAACTCATCAGCTGATAAATTCAGCTTTCTGGTTCCTTGAAATTTGTCATTAAGAAAAAAGCGTTGGTCATATCACGTCATTCGGAATTTGTGCTGATATAATCCAAACAAAGGACAGGGTTTGTTAACCAAGGAAGTAACATCTCTCCTCTCCCTAATATGGAGAACTCAATGTAACAACTCAGCTTTGAAGAGCAGATATCAAAGCAAAGATATATGTAATCTGACTTGGTCAGATCAAAGATAACTACTATATGGCTTATTAGGGGTGCAACTCGGGCGGGTTGGACAATCAACCCTAGCCCAACCCTAAGTATATAATCTTTAACCCTAACCCTAACCCGAGTTGGGAAACTCAACCCGAGCATTGCCCGAGTTTAATTCAGGCGGGCTCGGGTTGATGATTTCAGGCTGATTTCGGGTTACTTTACGGGTTCAATTTGGGTAGAGCCCAAAATAGGCTTGTTGTTCTAAACCTAATACATATATTACATAATATTCACCTAAATTAACAACCAATAACTTCAACCAAGTTTTTAATGAGAGAGGCTGAAAGAACGAGAGATAGAGAACGATAGAACAAAAATGAAAAACCAGTACTAATACTTTATATATATAATTTTTTTTTTTAATTTGTCAGGTTCGGGTTGAACTCAGGTTCACGAGGCCTTAATCCGAGTCCAACCCAAATTGAATTCGGGTTGGAGTTTTTTGACCCAAACTCAACCCAAGTATTAAAAACCCTTACCCAAGCCTTAATTTTTTCGAGTTGGGCTCGAGTTGAAATCGGGTTGCCCAACCCAAGTTGCACCCCTATGGTTTATTTATCATACTGAAGAGAGATGGAAAAACCACCCCCATCACATGACTTTAGTTTATTGCATGGTGCAAAGCTAATATCATGAGAAAAACTGACAAAATTGGCAGTCTTGCTAGGCAGGCAAAGCCCAGAATGGCCAAAACTTCCACAGCTAACCCCAAGATGCCAAGGTTGTGACATATCGAGATGAGAGCAATAATGACAAAGCTGAAGAGGATATAAGTAGCTACAATGCCATTATTGTTTTCCTTTCTCCGAAGTATTTGCAAACCCCCATGGCCAAGAAAATTATATATACTTTTTTATCAGCACTAAAAGCGGTACTTTTATGTAAAATAAAAATTTATCGCTAAAATGACAAGCAAATCTTAATGGAACAAATCTCCAATTCATCCCGATCAAAAATAATGGAACACACAGAAATCCAGAGTATCTGAAAGGATGCCACAAAGTGAAGTATTTCCCACATATCAACCTTAAGTTTATCATAAAAATTCCAGCCAAGAATTAAAATATCGTTTCGACCGCAAAACATTTTTGTTTCTAAAGAAACCGAAGCGAATCATTGATTGAGTAGAAATTCAAAGTATTTTCTATTACTTTGAGGGGTTTTGAGGAATTTCGAAATGTTTTGGGTTGTCTCGAAACATTTCAATATGTTTCCACTAATATTTTAGAATGTTTCGAAGTATTTCAAGATCTTTAAATATATTTAAACCAATGCATTGAAATATTTTGAAAATAAATCTCTAAATTTTTTATCCGTTTCCATTATGTTTCCAAAACGTTTTTATTTCTTAGATAACTGAGACAATACGCCGAAATGATATTTTGATCCTTGATTCCTACATTACTTTCCAACAGTAATACCCAAACAATTAAAAATACCACAAATTTCCAAAGAGTTCCAAACTTTCTTCCCTCTCAACAATCCTCAAAAATCCACGAGAAGCTTCAAAACACAAGATAATGGCAAGATCCAACTTATTTTCTTTGAAAAACAGTGCCTCTACCACACCAATAGAGACATTTGATAGAATATGAATAGATTATCAATATTCTCCTCTCTCATTCTACCCATCACAAACTAGGGGTGCAATTCATGCGGGTTCGGGAGTCAAAACAACCCCAACCCGAAGTACAAAAACTCCCATCCTAAACCAACCCTAACCTGACTTCTAACCCGAGTATTGCCCGCTCGGGCTTGGGTTCAATTTTTTGGTTAAATTTGAGTTCCTAAATGTAAATACTTTTAACTCTTTTATTAGACTCACATAGGCCCAACGAAAACCAAGCTCATTAAAGACACTAGCCACTTGGAGTTTGCCTTCTTTATATACAAGAGGAGGGAGAGACATTTTTTGTTTGAAACCGATGTGGAATTTTAACTTGGATAACTTGCTTTATCTTTTATTCAACATCCCACATCAGTTGAACAAGGGAGTTTGAACCCGAAGCATCGACCTGAATTGAATTCGGGTTGAGGATTTTTGGGCCAAACTCAACCTAAGTTTTAAAAAAATCAACCCGAACACAGCACCCCTATAACACCATCGCAGCTAGAGTGGACAATGAGGTCTTCATCTCTAAAGCAAATCTTTAGTATTGTTTTTTAGATAACCAACTGTCCAAAAGAACTCTTAAACTTTTGGAGGCATTTCTGTCTCTCAAACCAGCTTGAACTCTTTAAACCGAATACTATCCAAGTATAAAATTCAGGTAAACCATTTGGGTTGCCCAAATTAGCTATTAGGTACAATGCCTTATAAGTACCAAGAACAAATGGAGAATAGCAAATCTTTATTCAATATGAATTAAGCTCTATCACAGGCTTTGCTATCTTGAGTTGTATTAGAAAACAAAAACACTGGTTTCAAGAATATATAGCAAATATAAATAAAACTAATTATAGATTTAGAAAAAAAAAACTATAAACAAGAATGATTGTTGCTCGTGAAGAAAAACCAAAAAAATAAATAAATAAATAAATTACTTTGCAGAAAGCACCATATTTTTTTATCAAAAACAAGGTGGTAAAAAGCATCAGTCTACAAAAAGCTCTTGTGAGCAATCTCTTCGTGTCTATCATTCTGATTTTCCTGCACTCCACCTTTTTAAGTCATTTTCCATGATTTTCTAGGCTTTTTTCGTTTCTTCCGCAAGTTCAGATGATATAGAGAAGGGATTGTATATAAGAGGCTTTAAACCCTAAAGAGTTTAGACATCTAAAAGATGGGTGCTGGTTATGACACGAGAAAAAGAGAAAATGATTTTGATGCTGAATGGAAGGCCCACCCCCGTAAAGTACTTACTTCCCTCTTTGACCAAGTTAAGTCATAAATCTAATACTAGGGTTCAGCCGAGGCAGAGTATAAGAGATATAGTGAAGAAAGATCGAGGGAAACAATATGTGTGTGAGCTATGTTGCCCTACACTTTCTAATCGTCAACCACTTCACCATTTTATCAAAACAAACCCAATGACCCATGACAGGACACCGGATCACTATTGGGTAAAATCTGTCCCAATAGCTTAGCAACCATCATCATGACTCCGATTCTAATTTAAGTGTCATCATCAACAAAGGCACGAATCACCGTTTGGAGAGTTCAATCACAATCGTCAATCATCATCTCAAATACCACTTGTTGGGAGATTAGAAGTCTAACGATGCAATGCCCAACATACATATTTGGAACTTATGCCCTCCTAAATGCTTAAATCAATAGATAGTGAACTCATTTACAGTATATCAAAACACTTTCACTTATGCACTCCAACATAAGGTTCCCACACGTTATCCCTATTAATGGGCCAGCATGATGAAATGATTATCTATCTACATGCAACTCTAATATATCGAATGGTTGCATAAGACTTTGTTTTGTTTTGGGTGGTTTGAAAGAAAATGAAGGATTTTAGGGGAAATGGAGGCTCCTTAGGAAGATCTTCGGGATAAAATCTCTGTCATGGCATCTCTTTGGGCATCTACGTCCAAGGATTTTGAAGGGATTTCCTTTATTTGTAGTTAAAGAGTATTGGGCTCAAGAATAATGAAGCCACTTGATTTTTATTCATCTTTTACGGGCTTTGAGTAATAGATCACACTTAGACTTTATTTCTCTTGATGTATTTCTCGGAGGGCTCCTTGTTGTCTCAAGTACTATTTTCTCTCCTTTAGTAATTATATTCTACTGTTCCTATAAAAGAAGAATGGTTGCAAAAGATTATCGAATGGGGCCTACGTAATGTTGTGCATGTGAATAGTTATGTTATGTACAATGGCCACACCCATAATGCTTTTTGAACAATACTTATAATTATAGTGAATATTTGAGTAACAATGTGACAATGGATATCTTTGAAGTAGTTGCACCTCTCTTGTGATCAAGATATTGCAAGAAGCATTGCAAAATTTATAATATAATAAAAGCAGCAGTAATCGCCAAAAAAAATCAGAACACGTGCAAAGAAATGAGAGGGTCAGCAAATCTCATGTGGTAATTGCGAAAAGTGGTGAACGGAGAATGATCTACTCAAAAGAGATAGAGAATGCGACTCCCATGTGTGTGACAGTATGAAGAGAACACCTATTAAGCAAGGATTATATATTCCATGGGAGCAAAACCAATAACTTTGCGGAGGTGTACCGTGGCAGTCCTGGCCTGGGTGTACACCCAAACTATGACAAGGTAAAATGGCTAGTCTAGGAAAGCCCCAAAACACATGGCAAGTGTTCCAAAGTTCCAAATGTGGCGTGGCATGTCCGTGATGTTGGGAGAATCCCCAAAACTCATGGCTGGTGCTCAATTGGCGATCTTAAAAAAAGCCAAAATTGCATCAAGTAATCAACGAAGATGAAAAGATTTGGATAATTTATGAAAATTAATAACCCAGTATCATATGGCTTGCATCGAAAGTTTATTCAGTTGATGTGATAAATAACCATCATATTTAGTTCACATTGTGCATGGCATCATTATGCATCTTAGATAGGATCCCTTTTTTTGGGTACATTGGAAAGGTTCAAAACTAACAAAAGCCTCCCACGTAGGAGACACCGGTACAGTCATTTCTCAAAAACTCACCCATTGAGCTAGGTGGGGAGTTGACGAGCACCAAACCATCATCCTGCTTGACACCCAAATTTGCAAGGTTGTCAACACAGAAGTTTCCTTCTCTCCAAGTGTGATAGAGGGCGCAATTGAGGAAGGAGAGAAGCCTCTTGCATTCAGCAATGATCCCTCTTTCCGGGTGAGTTTCTTCCAATCTTGCTGTTAGGAGTCTATGGGCATCCAGGGAGTCTGTTTCCACAATGACATTCATCATTCCCTGAGTAATCTGAAGGCCTTTGTAAATAGCCCAAAGTTCGGCTTGAAGGCTAGAACAGTTAGGGAGTCTTCCATTAAAGCTAAGTTGCCAGACTCCTTGATCATTTCTAACAAGTCCTCCAATCTTAGATAGGATCCACATGAAATAAATATATTATCACATAGGTTATATATGATCTTGTATCATTTTGGAATTTTGTACATGCTTGCCTGTTTTGTGATTCTTTAATTTTTGAATCCATAAGATGGTTATAATATTGAGCTGGGTAACAACTGTCATGATTCGTGATTGCATGATCTTTACCTACTACATATATTTTTCTTGAGCTAAGTTGTTTCTTCTAATACTGAACAATAGCTCAACTCTAACAATTTTTTAAAGGTAAACTCTTATGGTTATGTATTGGGAAGTGAACTTAGAATGCTCTATCAAGATTTTGTAAAAATTATTATATAAACGGCTATGAAACTCTAATCTATGGTTTGGTCAATTTATGCATATATCGAAAGTCTAGCGAATTCAACTGTAAGTTTCAAATTGTTGGTTTTAAATTGTATGGGACGTGTTACTAACCACATGGATTGGAATGAATATTCAATTAGTTTATTGATCTCCACTTAATTCACCCTTGAAATTTGGGGCGTGGAGTATTGTGTCATCATCTACCACTAACCAAGTCCACCTCCTAGGCCCTTTTCACCAATCTACTAGAAATATCCACCACTTAAAAAAGGATGTAAGTATCACCTTGTCTAAGGCCCCACAAAGCACCAAAATACTTCCCCTGTTTCCCATTAACAATGATCGTTGACAACAAGCATCCTAAAATCAATCTCCTCCATTTCCTCCCAAATCCCTTCTTATTTAAAACCAAATCCGAAAACTCCCCTCTACATGATGATGAGCTTTTTCAAATTCAACCTTAAATGTAAATCTTTCCTTTCTATTATGGTTTACATTCCACCATTGCCTCATTAACAACTAGGAGACCCCATCTAAAATTTGTTGTCCTTTCATGGAACACGACCGAGAAAATCACATCAACACAATCTCACATTTGACCGTGGAAGTTCAAGGTAATTGTCAAGCCTAAGCAGCATGTATCATCTTAACACTATGTTTCCCATTTTAACTTCAAAAGCATCTACATATATGTTTTTAATGTTTTTAATAAACTTATAAACATAGCGGCCATGTACAAAAGGCTCTCCCAGTTGTAGAGTCTGGAGAGGTTCTTTTGTACACAATCTTACCCCCCACATGTAAAGAGGCTATTCCCACGACCTAAACTCTTGATGCTCACATCCCAAAGGAGCAATCTTAATGGTGCACCAAGGCCCACCATAGTTTTCAAATGAAATCATATATTCTTTTTTATTAAAAAAATGATGATTTCAAACCCATTACTTGGACACAAACTTATAGTTGCAGCTATGTCTTCAGTATAAAAGCCTAACCTTGTTTGGTCCTTTCAATCCAAAAACTAAGAAGTACATTAATAATGTATTGTAAACACACACACACCCCCAGAAAAAAATGCATTGCTTAAGAAGTAAACAAACAAATACTCATGGTAATACAACATTAATATTTACATGATACTCTCATAATGCTGAGTTTTGCTATCGTATTTGTTTCTATTTTCCTATTCCCATAATTTATGTTGACTACTTCAACATGAATCACAAGTGTACTTTAAGTTGTAGGAATTTTTTTTTTACTTTATTTGGAAGAAAGTAAGATTCCGGTCATGTTGATTACAATTACATCGTGATACTGGTAAAATGACATTAAAATTCTTATATGTACCATCCTTTCTTAAGAAATAAACAAATAAATCTGATTTTTGCAATTTAAATTATAAGCCAATGAAAATAAAAGAAAATAAATAAGCATAAATCAAGTCAAATTTCAACCTAGAACCATTCAAACTTGTCTACAGTCATCAGATTGCCTTTAATTGCTTTTCTTGTGTAAACTTCTGCCACTCAACCAAGTCCAAAAATAAACAACCCACTAGTTTATGAACTAATAAACTTTTTGTTAGTCTATCCTCCAACAATATATACAGATATGCGGACCTCCGTACAAATTGTTAATCCAATTGAATAAAAAGCAAATACATCCACCCACTCACCGATGACAAAACCTATAACAGAATTTACCTGAATCTGTTCAGACCCATAAGCTTTTGAGCTAGTACTTTCTTGAAAAGGCTCGGTGGCAATACTTGAAGACATAAACGCCCTTAGAGAGAACGCATTTCTAAACAAAATCCTACTACGAACTCTTCTCAATGTAAAACTTGTCCTGAAAGAGAAAGACCACAGCTTACTATGAAATATAACAAAATAAAGCTAAAAAAAATAAATAAAATAGACAAAAAACCAAATACAAGAAAAATACTTTCAAGGCCAGTTTGGTTGCCCAGAAAGTGTAGGAACCTAAAACACCATTTGGGGCAGCTGTATGTATCAAAATTAACCATTTTGTTAAATATTCAAGCAACCCCACAAAAGAAATACTAAAAAGCCTTCAAATTATATGTATCATCCTAAGCTTTCTCGGGAACCAGATGGAAAATAACGTCTATGTGCCAGTGTGAGGGACAGAAAGAGGAGAGGGAATACCTGGTATTAAGGAGAAGAGGGGGAGGAGTAAAAGATGAAGACAGAGAGTAGGTGGTTTGGGTATGAATGGAAGAGCAAGTGAGAAAACGCGACGCCATTACTCGGAGAGAGTAGCACTTCAGAGCAGGAGGAGGTCTCAGAAGGGTCATATTCAGTGAAAATTTTCTCGCCTTTTCTCGGCCAAGAAAATCTGTGGGGAGCGTGTCTGTCGCTGTGTCCGTCTCTCTGTTTGTGTGTGTCTGTCGTAGCTTTTTATTTTATTTTATTGATGGGTTTCCCTCTGTATTTGTTTTGTGGACCGTTAAACCCTAGTTTTTGCCTATTGCCCAAGAAGCACGAACCAATTTTGGGCCGCTTTCTGCTAACGGACCCAAGTTATGAAATTGCTTGAATAGACGTGTTAAGGAATCGAGTTTAGGTCGGGTTTTCAATTATCCGAATCCGAATTCGATAATTTGACAGATTTTTTTTGTGATTTATATCTAAATTCGTTAACAATTTAAAATTTAATCTGATTCGAATAATTTAATTAACTAAATTTTAATAAATTATACCTAATTTTTTTAAAAATAATCACTAAAATTATTTAATGTTTTATATAAAAATATATAAATAACTCAGATTAAATATAAGTATATTAAAATCAAAATCTGTGAAATATAAAATATTGAATTCGAATCATAATTCAATCCATTAACAGCTCTACTTATGAATAGATAAGGCAAGAATCAATGGAAATAGGGGCTATCAATGGGACGATTGTATTGTGTGTAAGTTGTTTTATATCGAAATTTATATATTTAATAGAGGTGGCAAATGGATGGGTTGGGTTGGTTATGGGTTGAGTTTAATTGGATTTAACCAAAATAAATCTAATCTTTTTTTACTCATGTAGTAAATGAGTTATAATAGGTTGGGTTTATAACGAGTTGGGTTAAACCAATTAACCCATAAAATAATTAAAATTCTTAATGATCACATTAGTATATCAAACCACACACACACATATTAGTAGTACACTAAAATACAAACATACACATACACACACTAATGCACCAAAACACACAAACTAATACACTAAAAATATACACACTAAAATATACACTAATACACAAAAAATACATACATATATACTAACACAAAAACTAAAATACATTTAATAAAAAAAATACACAAATAATAGGTCGGAGTGATTGTGGGCTATGGGTCATGAGTCAACCCATAGGATTGTGGGGGTTGACCGATGGATCACGGGTCGACCATGGTCATGGTGGTATATTAGTGTGTGTTTTTTGTGTACTAGTGTGTATATATTTTGATGTATAAATATATATGTATATATTTTTTGGTGTAATAGTGTATATATTTTTTGATATATTAGTATATTTATTTAATTTTATTACTTGTGTTATTTCATAAAAAGATAAATACTCAACTCAATGTGTACTCATTTATAATTTATATTAACCCACTTAATTAAAATAAATGCTATTATTCAACTCATTTAAAATCCATATTAATTAATATAGATACCCAACTCATTAATTTATGAACGAATTAGCCGGATTAATAGGTAATGGTTTAAAATTGACACCTCTAATATTTATACTTAACTTATTTATAATCATTGAGATCATTTGTATTGGCCTAATATCATATAAAGTCATATATAAACAACAGTTTTGTGTCGCATCTGTTAATAGTAATTTATTTATTCTAACAATCCCACCCCTATTATTATATGAATTTGTAAAGTCCAAACCCAACTCCATGAATTATTTATCAATTTGTCGAACTTTTGTGTCAAGCAGAGATTTTCTAATGAATTGATTACCTCAAGTGCGATATGATTAATTATCGTATTAGAGCTTATACACTAATGCGATATGTTTATTTTATTGGAAGATTATGGTAATGAAAGAGATACTCTATCAAAAACTATAACCTTTTAAAAATCAAATTACAATTTTTTATCCATCTCTTTCTCTCTTTATTGCTTCTCTTGTCTCACGGGCGGGATAACTTTCTCAACCAAGGACGCACAAGTTTGCAACTGAAGCTCCGTTAAATGACGAGAACAGCAGACACCGACGGTTTCTCACAAAGAATGTGAAGGGACAATGCAATGCGTAAACAAAATAGTGGTTTACCGCAGGTCCTACACAAGAACTTGTTTCATGATGCTTCATCATCTTTGACTTCCCCGTTTCTCTACTCCATCCACATCTCTCTTTACAAAGCAAGAGGATATGATCGCAACAGATTCATTTTTTTCCTTGGCTGTGGCCGACTACTCGAAGTCAACAATAGTTGCACCAAGTCGTATCTGAACCTTGAGTTTGTTGCTCGTCTCCATGCGACAGCCAATGGCACAAATCTTTCTCCTTGTTCACTTTGCTCTCTGTCACTTTCTTTCTTCCAAAAAAATCTCAACGATGAGGACTGGGCACTGCCACTGGCACAGCTATAAATTAACTGATTATTTATATGTTTCTCTACAATACATAGACCCTTTTTTTTTTTGTCGTACAAAGCATAGTTTTAAAACTCTAGCCGGATATCAACCCAATAAAAGGCCGGGTCAGTGGGCCATTGGTTCAACCAGTGGGTGGGTGATTGGTCGAACATTTCATATAATAAAAAAAAAATTAAAAATTATTAATGAAAAAATATAAGAAGAATTACACCAACGCTCCCTGAAATTTATCATTTAATCATTTAAACCCCCTAACATTTGAATGCGTACTACTTAAACTCCTGCTGTAAATATATCTGTTAATAAATTACACTTAAACTCTCATAAAGTTTGTGGATATATAATACTTAAACCCTTTAAGTTTAAAATATTATACTTAGACCAAAAATACTTCAATCAAATATCAAATTTTTTAAAATTTATAACCAAAATTCATGTTCTATTGTATCATTTATTGAAATAAAATTAAAAATAAAAATTTAATTTTTTCTTAAAAAAATTGTAATTAATATACAATTATACTATCTATTGGAATAAAACTAAAAAATCAAACAATAGATCTAAGTCATTCATAATGGAACATGAATTTTACATCCAAAATTCATGTTCTATTATGTCATTTATTGAAATAAAATCAAAAAAAAAAATTATTTAAAAAAAAAAACATAGTTAATATATATTTATACTGTCTATTAGAACAAAACTAAAAATTAAATAAGGAATTAAACTGTAATGGACACAATATCTTTTAAAAATTATAATAATAGTAAAACTAACATATTTAAAGTATATTAGATCAAACAGAAATTTAAAAATTTTCAAACATATATCCAATTATCAAGAAAATTTACAAGTTCCAGACTCTAATTATGCATCAATTCAAAAATACTTCACGAATTTTGCACTCTTCAAACTCAAACGGCAGTAATCAATGTCCATGGAAAAAATCATGTAGAAAGGTAGAGCAACAAATACAAATTCATACAAAATTAAAGCCTTAAAATACTAACTTACGGATATAAAGCTCATAAAGAAATACAACCTTTAATCTTCCAAATGCAAAGTTAAATCAAGATAGTTAAATCCAATCTTGATTTGAAACAGATTTGCACTAACCAAAATTCTAGATCCAATCTTACAAATGAAAACCAATACAGAAAATCAAGACCCAAGTTTATAGATAAAAATCACTGAAAAGATTACCTCAGAGATGAGAAAGATAACCTATTAAAATGCTGCAACCGTGGTACCACTATGAGACGATGAGATCTACTGTTATGAATGTGAAGGGATGAAAGAAATCACCCATAGATGGTGGTTGAAATTAGTGGACTATAATCTAATATGGTTACTTGTACAAAGAGAGAGAGAAATGAGATGAGGACGCCGGAGAAAATATTTAAGAAAATTGAGACGTCTTCGCCGGAGATGATGATCGGACATTAACAATTTGGTGAGTGTGGCCAGGCAACTCAGGCCATTGAGCGTCAGATGGCGAGAGAAAAGAGACATTGGATATGAGATTAAGGATTAAGGAAAAAATGCCCAAAAGGTTGGATTTTTATAAATTTACTCAACCCACACGGTTTTACCTATTTGTCTAAAAACTGCCCGGTTCAAAACAATCTAATTGCTGAACCGGCCCGATTCAAGGTCTGCTTCACTGGGTTCTTGGGTCAACCCGCAAGGCCGGGCCGGTTTTTAAAACACTAGAAAATTGACGATAGATGAATGAAACCACTATGCAGTTGGTGATACTCGATTCCAACCTCAAGGGCAAACCCACTTTGGTTTACTGCTGCTACTCCATACGACCCACACAAAGACAGCAATATTATACAATAACCTGATGTTGCAGTTTTTCATGAGAAACATTACATTCGAGACACATCTTTGCTATCACATTTCAAAAAATGACAATGTATGATCTATAGTTGAAAGAGACACATATGCAAAGACTTGTACTTTGCTTCCATTTCTCTAGAGTCCTTTGGCGAGTGGTCCGTTTCTTTTGCCAAATTAAGGGTGAAACTGCATCTTCCCAAAAACTTAAGAGATGCTTGTTGAAAAACCTGTTCCCAATTCATTCTGATCCGTGATCCAGTTTATGTCGCTCCAGAACCTTTAGCTAAAGCAGCATCACGATCCTGACGCCTTTGTTCTCTCTGAAACATACCCAATTTCAGCAAATATATGACACTGAACAAAAGGGGACATCAACAAACAACAGAAAATAGGTGCACCGTTTCATACTAGGTAATATTTACTCAATATTGCTTTCCTATCCAAAATACAGATTCCGGTGGAGGTGGAGCGATTTCCAGGAGGGGAGATTGTTGGCAGTGGACATGATGAAAATGTGGGGTATGGGTGCACTGGGCTCTGCAACTTACTACGGAAAAAACTAACCAACATGTTCTCCAAAATTGATCCAAAACAAACAACTTAAAGTTCGATATTTGCCAAAATCAGCTCTCCCCGTTCAACCCAATCACAAACTGGTAAGGTTTGGGTTGGGGTGCCCAAGAAACCAATATTATTTCCTCTATATTCTCAGTGTATTTTACAATAAGAAACAATGTTGCGTTGTGGAATGGGGACTGGTCTTGGTTTACCGCAAAATAATCTTAGTTAGAGCTGGAAGCCACTAGTACAGCTTAGGCTTGATCAAATGACTATCGCAAGTTATCATAAGTTTCTTCTTTGCTATCCCACAAAGTGAATCTCAATAGAACAAATACAGATATATTGGGAGTTGAACCAAGGGAACTAGGGGAAAAAGGTACAACTAAGAACATCTAGCTGAAAATGCCTCAGCTTTGTATATGAGGTTAAGGGGGAAGGCGTGCTGGAGGGGGCGTTAGAGGGCTCACAAACATAGAATGATTCTTCAAAAAGTCAAAAAAATAATTTAACAAAAAAAGAAATGCAAGGTTGTGTTGGTTTCCAGGTTTATATACAGTGGTATAAGATTAGAACGCTCCCATAACAAAGGAAGGAAATTACAACGACCATGCAATGCCTATCCTATACGCAAATCATCCTTCAAGAAGCCTAAATGTCTCAACAAAATGCCAAAACTTACCATTGGGGGAAGTGAGGTGAAAAATAGAATGGTTTACAATTACATAAAACACATCATACAATGTGTATTCCACTAGAAAAGAAAATGGCTACTTATCCAAATAAAAGGAAAAAAAAAAGAACAAGGTACTAATAAATGACAGTTATTGAACAGCGAAAAATCTGTATTTAACAAAGATAAGAAACATACTCTTCGTTCCCAGTATGGAAGGAAGCAGACAAAATCATAGACAGGAGTTATAGTTTGCACCAGAACAACATTGAGTCCAGTAAACACCAAAAGTGCTGCCATAGGCCGAGTCCTATGTGGCATTTTATATTTAAGATCCCCTCACTGCAATCACGAGGTCAAGGAGAAAGATCAATTCCCTTACGAAAAAACATAGGGTAAAATACATTGATAGTCCCTAAAATATGCGCTTTGTGACACTCTGGTCCTTAGTCATTCAATTTTGATGTTTTAGTCCTTCAAGCTTCCAAACAATGCCACTGAAGTGTGGTCCCGTATGAATGATGAACGTGATCACTTCAGTTAGTTATTTAATCCGCTGTTTCAGATTGAACAAAAGTGACAAATTGGAAGCTGAGGAACTTAAGTAACAAAAGTTGGCACAAAGCGCAAACTTGATGGACATTTGCTGTATTTTGCCTGAAAAACCTACATAGCAAAGCAATTCTCAAATCAAATAATGCAAATCAAAGCTAAAAAGGAAAATAAATATCACGAGATTATTGTAGTGAAATACAATCTATACAAACGTATTTTGGAAGCAAATTGTTCTCCATATGGGTATATTAACCTTTGAAACACTGAGAATGTTCTACCAAGTTGAGTCAAAGCCTAGTACAACTCCGACATCAAAATCATGAACATTATTTACTTTCGTGATTAGAGAACCAATTTCATTGAGTAGGCATAGAGGTGAAATGAGACACACACTTCATTGAAGACAGGCACTTGTTGACCATCCGTGACAAAGATTCTTTATCCACCAACATATTGGTCACATGCCATTACTTGTGATTAGTACTGTTAATGGATTAGATATGAATCGGATTATCCTATATATCCCTAATCCGAACCCAATTAATATCTACTCTATCCAATTTGAGTATCGGATAGATTTGAAAATTTCAATACAGGTAACAAGAGAGAGGTGCACTAGCAATTTTTCTTTGCTGACCTAGGAGGTGTGACTTGTGAGAAGATTGGGTAGGGAAACAAAGAAAGGATGGGGAGAAATGAAAAAAAAAAAGAATAAATAAATAAATGAAAATGAAAGAAAGAGGAAAAATGGGAAAAAGATAGGGGAAGAAAAAGAAAAAGGAAAAGTAAGTGAACAGATACTACCACTGACAACATTGTGACTGTGACTCTAATTTTAAGCTTCATCTAATATAGTAAAACTTGCAATTGCCCGTAGCTGAAGGTATAACAAAAAAATTCATTTAGAAAACTGAAAATAAATTCAAAAAAATTAAACACATACAATTCCTAAAGTAGGAATGATAATCAAACCGTGTTGTGTTATCACAGATTCATAACAAAAAAATCTCAACCCTAACATGAACTACCTACTTAATCATTTCAAAATGACCTGACACGAATACAATTCGCTTATAAAACCAATAATCGGAGCATGACTCGTGTAACACACTTAATAAACATTGTATCGAGGTTGATACAATTTGCAATCAACCCAATTAACATGTTTAGTACACGGGTCACAAATCAAACCCAAATAAATTCTCATTTTCAATACAAATTATTCATTCATCCACAATTTATATCTATAAAAATTTCTAAATTAAAAATAAAATATATGCTCAAAACCATCCCAACCAACACATGAAAGAAGTCTGACAAAAAAATATATATATACAAAAGTTAAAGAAAACCACATTTCATACTCTTATGTATCTTGCTAAGCACAACATGCCCAAGTACTCAAACAAAAAGATAATCTCAAATAACATAACACCACAAATTTGTTCACAACCCCAACAAATATTGACATCCGAAATTCTAATTAAACTAATCTTGCGGCAATAATTAAATTTAATATCTCAACAACAGTTAAACAAAGGAGCCTCTGTGACAGTTAAGTTCACCTCAAAGGTGTTTATGAGTCTATTCTCTCTATTTGTTCAATCAAAGGTCAAGTTAATTAATCGATCTGATTCACTAAGTGGATTAAAATCAAGACTTATATAAACTCAAATTAGCAATTCTAATTGAACATAAAAAGGACAAATAAATAATATGTCATTTTCTTGACGAATCAAATAATAAACTTTTACATGGAATATGAATTCAGATGTTAGAATTGTCTTGCATTGAAAGCCATGAAAAATTGACTCAAAAGTTTATAACAAACTCTAAAAGTACTCAAATTGTTGCCAGTATTTTATAGCGATGTTCCAAAACACCTTCTGTCCCTTGATTATTTCAGCAAACAAATAAAATCTTAATATTTAAATTTCTCCAACACATACCTTAGATATTTTTCCTCTAATTTCGTTTAATATGAAAAATAAATAGAATGAATATATAATCAGACTATGCACTTTATAGATCGCCTTTCTAGCCCCCAGTAAATGGGAACCTTCAAATTACACCAATTGGTTTTCCAATCACAAAGTAAAATGAATAAAAAATCAACTAACCAGTTGATCTCGTTGGATCCACCACTGGATTAAGGACCAAAGGAAAATGCCCAATGCTTGTGCGCTTATCATACCATTATCGTCTTCATGACCTATACCACTCAAACACATTTAAAATCAATTAGTGATTAAATATTGAGTAAACCATATGTTTTTATGGAGTAAAGACAATAGATAAGCTTACCTTTGAGCGAGCATGATTCTTTAAGTATTACAAATCAATTGTCTTTAATTGCTATGAAATGGGAACTAATTATAAGCCAGACAAAAAGGTAAACTTATGCTATATCCAAGTGAAGCTGACAACAATACGGAAGCATCAGTGTGCAAGATAAAAACACAAAGCAAACTTAATAGGCTATAAGGATGATAGATATATCTAATGATTTCCCAATCACAATACAAGCTCTTAAGTTGATGGCAGATGAACCCAAATGAACTTAAATTCTCTTTTACAATGAATGAATTCTGCTTTTGCATGTTTATTAGAGGGAAGAAAATGTATCCAAATGAATTTAGGAATAACTCGTTAAGAAGCTATGTAACACAAAAAAAAATGAGAACTTAAAAATTCCCCAGAGCTGTACTAGAAGCAAAAAAACTACCTCACATCTCATGATCAGTTATGTGCAGAAATTTGATACTAAATAGCGGCAATCTAAGATTTCAAAAATCATTTGTCTTTAGTCACAAATATGATGTAGGATCGGTTCAAAAAGAAATTTGAAAGCAATCAAGCCATCATCTTCATCAAAACACATGGGGACAAAGTCATCATATTTTTAGGCAATTTAGAAAAATATAGCTAACAGTGGTTGCATGGTCAAGAGAGATGATAACTTCTGCAAAATTATCACATCAACAATATAGAAATAAAAATTGTAGTTTAGAACATAACTGGAAAGCACAAAAAAAATCAGAGAACTAATTTCCAAATTATGTATTGGCATATTAAATTAGGGTTTGAGGAGAGAGATTCCGGGTGAGTATGTGTCGCTGGTGAGTTGCAAGGGGGCGTGTGTGTGTGAGATAGAGAGAGAGAAAGATAGAGAGAGAAGGCAAACGGCGAGGGTGAGTTGCAGGGGTATGTGTGAGGGTGAGAGAGATGGTTAGGGTGTTCGTGAAGCAATACTACAAACACCTGCCAGTAGTAGATTGGCAAAGAGTAAACGAAGAGAAAAAGGGGTTGTGGCAGTGGTGGCTGAGGGCCAGGGGGTTCTGGTGCTTTCGTTCGGTTGGAGGAGAGAAGGAAGGGGTGGTGAGTGATGGTGGTGGTTTCGTCGAGAGAGTAGAGGGAGAGAAATAGGGTCTGTGGGTGGGTAGAGTGAAAAAGAAAGAGTGAGAGAGATAGAAAAAGACATACCTAGTCGATGGTGTCGGGGATGTTCGTGACTGTTGGTGGCGTCGAGTGGCTGCGGGTGGTGTCGAGGGAGGAGCGGGTTGTGTGGGGTTGATGGTGAATGGAAGAGGGGTGGGGAAGACAAGGCGAGAGAGATGGGGAGGAGAAGGCAAAAAAGAGAAAGAGGAGGCCTTTGATTTGGGGTTGGAGTGATTTAGGGTGGAAGCAGGGAAGATAGAGTGACAGGATCAGAAGAAAATTTCAGATTGGGTGGATTTTCAAAATTGGAATTTTTGGGTGGGATAAAAAAGTGGCCCGGATGGATCCTCTTTCCATCTCATTTTTCTTTCCTCTCTATTTTACTTCACAACCAAACAAAGAAAAATCTCTCTTTCCCCTCCACTTCTCATTCATCTTTTTCCGTCCATCCAATTTTACCTCGTACCAAACAAAGGGCAACACACTCTCAATCTTAAACAATCTTGTCAAATGTTATCAGAACTAGCCCGGTCATTGAATCAACTAGAGAACTGAGTCAATGGTTCACTAGTTCAACCGATAGATCATTAATTGGACCGACTATATAATAGAAAAAAAAACATATAACAATTATAAAACATAATAATTTAGCTAAAAAATATAAAATATGTCTAAAATGCATCCAATTTGATAAAACAAACAAACTGAAAGCATAAAATCCACAATGACAACAAATATCCCAATTCACAAACTAAAAGCATAAATACATTGAATTTGTGATGCTCAAAATCACCCAATAATATACAGAATAAAACACCAAATAATTAAACAAATATTACACATCATACTAGAAAATTAAAAAATAAAAGATGTAGTCATAGACTCACGGTCAAAAACACAAACACATACCTGGTTAGATCATATTATGCCCAAAAACACAAACCAGAATTTTATTGTAGTTAGTATAATCCACGTAAAATCTATATAATAAAACAATAGTGTTTTTGAATTTTATCTCAGTCATATTTTCTCCCTCAAAACTATCACCAATCACTTACTTCATCCATCNCAGTGGTGGCTGAGGGCCAGGGGGTTCTGGTGCTTTCGTTCGGTTGGAGGAGAGAAGGAAGGGGTGGTGAGTGATGGTGGTGGTTTCGTCGAGAGAGTAGAGGGAGAGAAATAGGGTCTGTGGGTGGGTAGAGTGAAAAAGAAAGAGTGAGAGAGATAGAAAAAGACATACCTAGTCGATGGTGTCGGGGATGTTCGTGACTGTTGGTGGCGTCGAGTGGCTGCGGGTGGTGTCGAGGGAGGAGCGGGTTGTGTGGGGTTGATGGTGAATGGAAGAGGGGTGGGGAAGACAAGGCGAGAGAGATGGGGAGGAGAAGGCAAAAAAGAGAAAGAGGAGGCCTTTGATTTGGGGTTGGAGTGATTTAGGGTGGAAGCAGGGAAGATAGAGTGACAGGATCAGAAGAAAATTTCAGATTGGGTGGATTTTCAAAATTGGAATTTTTGGGTGGGATAAAAAAGTGGCCCGGATGGATCCTCTTTCCATCTCATTTTTCTTTCCTCTCTATTTTACTTCACAACCAAACAAAGAAAAATCTCTCTTTCCCCTCCACTTCTCATTCATCTTTTTCCGTCCATCCAATTTTACCTCGTACCAAACAAAGGGCAACACACTCTCAATCTTAAACAATCTTGTCAAATGTTATCAGAACTAGCCCGGTCATTGAATCAACTAGAGAACTGAGTCAATGGTTCACTAGTTCAACCGATAGATCATTAATTGGACCGACTATATAATAGAAAAAAAAACATATAACAATTATAAAACATAATAATTTAGCTAAAAAATATAAAATATGTCTAAAATGCATCCAATTTGATAAAACAAACAAACTGAAAGCATAAAATCCACAATGACAACAAATATCCCAATTCACAAACTAAAAGCATAAATACATTGAATTTGTGATGCTCAAAATCACCCAATAATATACAGAATAAAACACCAAATAATTAAACAAATATTACACATCATACTAGAAAATTAAAAAATAAAAGATGTAGTCATAGACTCACGGTCAAAAACACAAACACATACCTGGTTAGATCATATTATGCCCAAAAACACAAACCAGAATTTTATTGTAGTTAGTATAATCCACGTAAAATCTATATAATAAAACAATAGTGTTTTTGAATTTTATCTCAGTCATATTTTCTCCCTCAAAACTATCACCAATCACTTACTTCATCCATCATCCCTTTGTCAGACTCAAACGTCATATCACATCACTTATTTCTGTCATATGTTTAATCATTTATATATTTCTTCCCTAAAAATATTACATCACTTATTTCTATCATATATTTAATTATTTAACATTTGATTAATTTATAGTTAATATTTTTTTAAAAAATTAATATAATGGAATTGATTTTTTGAATATTCAAATTTTATATTTTAGCGTATTTTTAGGCACGGGTTATGACTAGTGGCTAAATAAGATAGGTTGGCATATGAAATAATGTATATCCTGTCAGTGCGTATGCAGGTGATTATACATGAAGCAGAGATGTCAATTGCCATAGTCAGCAGTATAACTCATAAACAATGGTTAGCTTGTATGACTTCTATCAGCAAATTGAAAACTTTTTATCCATCGAATCACAGCAAAATTTTTTACTTTAAAGGGAGGAGATGAGTCCGCCTGAATTCGTTGGTCGAAGATCCCTGGTCGCTGATCGCAGTTGAGGCCCTGATGTCGCTGGAGCCTGGTGGTGGTGGTACTACTGCCTTCTGTTCAGTGTTCTGCGATTTAGGGCAAAAAATAGCCTCAAATCCTGCACAAATTATAATTTAATTTATTTATATAATTTAAATTTTAATTAGGTATTAAATTGTCCAATTTTTTAAAACTCGTGAGTTCATGATTTTTATGGTTGGTTCTTTGCCTTAAGAGGGTCCAATTGGGAACCAGACCGGTCAAAGTCCTGGTTCAAAGTTGAACCGGTCAGACGTGCCAGTCCAGTGCAATTCTGATGACACTGATCTTATCAATTTACTTTTACTTATATCTTCATTTTTATTTTAAATTACGTAATTAACCTACAAGAATTTTCACCCATAACACTTTGGTACCACCCATGCTTTTAAGAGTTGGTAACATAATACGTTAATGACCATTGCGATAATTGCAAATATAATCCAGACAAAATTAAGGATAGATATAATACTACGCATGTATAGAATTATAAATATAATATACTAAGATGCATCTAAATCACTTTTTTGGTTAAAGATTCTTTTTTTTTTTCAAATTTATTACTTTTTTTCTCAAAAAAATAAAAAAACACAGTTCCGCTGCTGATCAACAAATTTCTTTGTGAAACAGCCAATTAAAACTAGCAATTCGAAAAGGCTTCACCGATGGAAACAAATGCAGCCTGTAAATGAACCATAATGATACTATGCATGTATAAAGTCGATGCATAAATCAAAAGATTGCACGATGTCTGCATCAAAATTACATCCATCAACAAAAGTCAATAGATTAGTGAATTCAAGCATTGTATATTTTCCCGTGCATTCGCTCAACGAGACTCCCAATCCTTCAACTTCTTGCTTCCTTTGGGTTTTGCTATAGGTGCATTCATCCCAGCCATTTTTGCGTTGTACTTGGCCCGAAGAGGATCGTTGTAAGTCCACCTGCATTACCATAAATAGATTGTTAAGTAAGGGTGTTGAAGAGAACAATATACATGAATGTTCAAACTTATTGGTAATGTAACATAAAACAAAGGTTACAAACAAACTCATGTATATAACTTATGTTTTTTTTCCTCATCTTCATTCATATTAGACGAGAGCAGTTATACACTAGGCTTTGCATATCAATTCCTCCTTTACCTCTAATGGCATTGAATGTATAATTATACTAGCCAATAGGCCAGGAAAATTACATGCACAAGAAAATATTCTATTATGATAGGTTTCATTAGCCAAATCTATGTGTTGAAGGAGTTCAACCAACTTATATCGCAATCCCCTCATATCCCCTCATAATGTTTTCCATATATGACATATGAGTCGAGATGTCTTGGCTCCAAATGATTGGGACATAAGACTTGGTTTGGTTTGGTTATATATGAGTCAAGATGTCTCAAATCTCAATTCACTGATTGGGTATATCGGCAGATTCAGGACATTTCTTCCAATCAAAAGCATACAAATTTCAATACCCATAATCTTTTGATTGCTGTCCGTTTCAACCATTACATCCTTTTTTCTTTCTTTTCCCTTTTCAACACCTTTTGCTCACTTTGTTCCAGCTTCACTACGTAAGTCGAAACACACAAAGGTATTACACTAAAAATTATGGATTGTAAGTGCCTGAATTAAGTAAATTGCGGACTTAGATCCGACACATATTCTAATGTATTTCCCAAATGGAAACAAGGCAACAGATTTCTAGTGTCAACTAATTGAGTAAATTTCAATGTGTGATGTTCTCATATAATTCTACTTTTTTAATCAATTTCTTGTAGGTTTTAAGTCTCAGTTGACATCAACACATGCTTCTTGATTCATTAAATGTTAACAAACCATCATTATTTTATTAAATCATGCATATAATTTGAATATTTTGTTTTTAAAAAGTCTCACAATATCAAGGGATTGTTATATGTTTTAGAAAGTTCACGGGAACAAGGAGAATGGCTTTCAGCAGGTGCGAACTAGTCCAGCAGAGAATTCAACTGTTAACACAGAATTTTGTATTCCTGATTTTGACAGGAGCAACCAAATTTTGCATTAAGATTACTAAGATACGGTTGACAATGCATGAAAAGTGCTTGTGAGACACTTTGCCAGTCAATCTAATACAGCAAGCCACAGTACTCAAATACTATGACTTAGAGTTTTAGGCATCATGTTAGAATATATGAATATAATATGTTAGGAAATGAAAAAGTAAGGCTAAATTAGTTTCAGATCATGGTAAAAATCTAAACAAAATGTGAAGGAAAAAGATAATGAATAGTCTAACATGAAAATTATACTTACGGATTATTCCAATCAGTTGTGTCCTCATTGACAAGATGGGTCCATTTCGTTCTTCCACTACGACCAAAGTGCTTCACCTGCATGACTTTGGGCAATATGGTCTTGTCCATCTTATCCTCCCCAGTCGGTGCAGAAAAATCACGATGGAAAATATTGTCTGACCCAACAGTTGCAGCAAGGTCATCGGCATCTGACTGGAAGAAAGCACCCTTGTGGTAGTATTTCTGCATGAACCTCCACTTCTGCTTGGACGATTGAGCAGGTTTCGGATTCTTCCTTTCCCATTCTCTCCGCTCTTCCTCTGTCATGTTTCTCACCTTCTCAACCTCTTCCTTCTCCTTCAACATTGCCTCGCGGGCCTCCCTATCCCTCTTGATCCTCGCAATCTCTCTGGCCTTCCAAGCTTCATATTCCTCTGCCTCGTTTAATTCATCATCAGTATCAACATCAGCAATATTACCCTCCAATTCTAAATTCTTCTGAATTTCTTCATCTTCCCGAATCTTCTCAATAACAATCTGCTTTGTTTCCACCTTCCTCTCTTCCAACCTCCTCTTCACTTTCTCTTTGAGGGCTCTCTCTTCAGCCTCAAGCCTCTCACGCTCAGCTACGGTATCTCTCTCAGACTTTGGAACAAAGACAGGCTTCACCATTGCCATACCTGTTTGCTCTTCTTCTGAGTCAGTCTCATACTCAGATTCCTCTTCCTCCTCTTCCTCTACTTCCTCCTCTTCTTCTTCTGGAAGAAGCACAGCTTCTTCTTGCTGCCTCTGAAGCAATTTCTCTCTAATTCTTCTCCTCCTTTCCTCCAAAGCATCCTCATCTTCTTCTTCAAAATCCAAACCTTCTTGTCTTCTGTTCTCTTCTTCTATTGTTGAAACAATCTCAGCTTGCCGGATGCGTCTGTGATCCGCTCTTATTTCTTCCCGATTATCTATCCTACTCTCAGCCAAACGACGCAGTCTGGGATCATCCCTTTTGCCAATATCCAAATCTTCATGACTAGGGAAGGCCTTGTCCAAGGCAACTGCTCTAGCCATCTGAATATCCCCATCTTCATCGGCATCATCAGCCCATTCGGGAGCTTTTCCAGGCCAATACCTTTTGACTTTTGTTTGCCCGATTTTACCTCTAAGCTTATCCCTAATGGCAATTATGGCATCACTAACACCTGCCGTCACAGACATGTTTACAGGGAAGCAATCCAACAAAAAAAAAGATAGAGAGAAACCAACAATGCTTTTACTTTATCTGCTTCAGAACATCAAACGAGCTCAATGTTCACAATCTGTACCAAAAACAACAAATAGACAAATAGTGAAACCAATTCTGTGGGAGAATTCCTAAATCTTACTAGCATGGTGAAAAATAAACCGAAATAAAGGTACAAAAGCAGATCAAATTGATGTAAACAGAGAGTCTACAAGTGATCCAAGACATAAGTACACATTTTGGGGTTTATTGCAAACCCTAAAAGTCAAATTTCTGCAGTCACAAACACATACATGCATATGTATGTAATAGAAATGTGTCCGTGCCTAAAGGCACTATGTAACAAAGATTGAAACCCCATTCGAGCTTAAAATTACCTGAAGTTTTCAAAATCTTGCTATCATATTGTTCATTTTTTGATTTTAAGGCAAGATGTTTTCTAAAAATAGGACTCCACAAAAATGCCAACCCATATATACAAATGATAACTACAGCCTAAAAGGCTACCAAACTAAATACACATTCACGCAAATAAACACATGGACATGAACATAAAGAAACCAAAGCTCGCAACTATACAAAACTGGTCACCCCTTTATGAACACCATAATTCTTTGTCAATTCAATTAACACACAAAATTAATATCAACAAAGATAGGTATTTTATCCAACATGCAAGTGACTGATCAAACAAAAAAAATCCAACATCCAAGTCAAACAAATTGCTATGACAATCACAAATACTAAATTTGGTCATATTGGATTATTTTGTGAACAAATAAGTTTCGAGCTTGCCAATGCCATGAGAAAATGTGCTTGCTACACCAGATGATGTCAGGTTGTGGATCTTTGAAAACTCTTAAAACAATAGGGTTAAATATCAAAAACAAAAACAAATGTCAAGGTAAGCAAGAATAAATAGTAGGGTTAATCTCAAATTGCACCCGAAAGATCATTTGAATCTCAATTTGCACCCTCAAAGATAGAATTTTGTATCAATGAACACATCAAGCTAACAACCGTGAGTTTCCCGTCTAAAATTAAATGGATAAATTACACCTAAATCCCCTCATACTTGTCACTTAATCATGTAGACCCTTCACATTTGAAATATTATACCTACATCCCTTAAGAAACTAAATATGACTAAAAATGTTCCCCAATTGGGCATTCAAATAATTCTATTTAAGTGATGTATTGTATTGGATATAAAGAACATTATATAAATATCTGTATTATATTGAACATTCAAATGGTAAGCTTGATTTTGAACATTAGAGTATAACATATCCACAAAATAAAGGAAAGTATAAAATTACAATTTTTTATTATGATGAAATCATATTTTTTAACGGTTATATTAATAGATATCAACAACAAATGGTTGTGTTACACGTGCACAAGTGTCAGAAAGTGTAAAACAAGCATGAGGGGATCTAGATGTAATTTATCTATTTAGTTTCAAGTGCGCATTAATACAAATTTCTATCTTTAAGGGTGTAAATTGAGATTTTTTATCTTTGAAGGTGCAAATTGAAATTCGAACGATCTTTCAGGGTGTAACTTGCAATTAACCCTAAAAAGTATGTCGTTAGTCTTACGCTATAGCTACGAAAAAGTAGCATTCACATAACTTCCAAGGCACTCATATCTCCATAAATAAATGCCTCCAAATGATCAAGGAAATCAACTCAAAGCAAAATCCATCAACAATAGTAGTCTTTATGGGCATAACAACAAATGGGTGGTGGGTATACTAACAAATGTTATTAAATATGAGCATAAAAATGATATTTAAACAAATTGAAGTTGAAAAAAATCCAAATCGCAATAGAAAGAGACGAAAAACACCTACTGAATTTTAGGAGGTCGCCCATGGCATCGCACCGTTGCTGATATGAAGAAAAAAGTACTCAAAATACTTCAAATAAAAAAGGCAAATGCCTCTTAATGAACTAACACAATATGAATGATCAATATCCCCCAACTTTGCGTCTAAAAATCTAAACCCCATAAAAAATCTTTACAACACAATTACCATCAAGATGTACTTTTACCATTAAGATATGTTGTCACAAAATCGGAATAAATTCTTGTCTACCCAAACAATAAGGTCACAAAAAAAATTTTGTACTTAGGGTCATTTGCACATAACCCCCTTGTAGTTTTAACTTTTGTATTAAGCCCCTCTCAACTTAAAAATAAAGTGCAAAAGTGGATGGAGGCTATTAATTCAATGAAAGGTGTTACACAAGCACTCAAAGTTGCAGGTGGAGATAAAATGTGTTAAAATTATAACTTATAATTCCTAAAATACCCCTCCCCTCCCCTCCCCAACCGAACCATCTCTCTCTCTCTCCAAACCCTCTCCTTTCCCACCGAAATCCACCACTCGTAACATCACCATCACAATCCCTCCCCTATGCTAGCCCACCACCTACTTAGCCATCTCTCTCTCTCCAAACTCATTCCTTTCCCCATCGAAACCCACCACCTGCAACACCACCACACCATCGCAGCCCACTCCCATACAAAACCCACCACTTGCAACACCATACCTCAACCTCATTTAAGTGAATTTTCTCAGCAGCCAAACATAAATTATAAGAAAAATATTGGTATTTCAAGTGAATACCCCCATTATCTCTCTCAGCTTAACCCTTGGCTTCCTTGGTGGTTTTTCCTCGGCTTCAAACTCAACAGCCAATAACTTCCAATTAGGTTCCTAGAATTGAACCGAACGAAGAGGAAGCCCAAGAGACGAAAGTTGAAAACCCCTTTCTGGTTTGACTGTATGTTCCAACTGATAGAGTAGTACACTAAAAGCTTGCTTTTGTAGTTAAACTAATTTTATTAATTAATAAAAGTTTGTTCTTCCATTTTATTGAAAATCTGTATGGACAAAATATTTGCATTATATTTAACATATAGTATGCATGTGTGTCTTATATTTTACATTATAAATAATCTGATGTGTATAGTTCAACTTATACACAGAAGACCAGATTATCGGATCCTTATATAATATGAATATATGTTCACAATCTTACATGGAATTGGACACACCATTGGTATGATTGTAGACTTTGTAGTGTAATATTCTGGCATGATTTGTCTTGATTGTAGGAGACTGTTTGAGACTATTTGCTGACACAATTGGATGTGTATATGAATCTAATAAGAAAATTAGAGAACATGTTGGAACTTGAAGGCAAACTTTGTGGATCAACATAGAAATGGTAGGTTGTCTACATTGAGGACGATATGATGATGATGGGTGTGATCCATGACATATAGGTTCACATGACTAAGTCTATTTCAATTGTTTTCTTTTATCTTGCTTGCATTTAGCTTAAACTTGCACAGTATATGTCAAAGCCTTTCAAGTGGACTATTGGGATATTTTCAATGGTTGAACTTTTTCTAATTGATTCTTGAAATTGTTGAAGTTCTTTTGGATTTAGGTTTGATCGATTATATTCTGCAACAAGTTATACATGCGTATACTTTTGCTGCTATTTCTTTTTTCTTTTTTTGGTTAGTGACATCTTACGTAAATATGAGGTGAATTTTGTGATGCTATATAAATTTTGATGTGTGTACTCAAAATGTTGATATTGTTGCTCCTTAGATTGCTTATTTTAAGTAAATTTAAAGTTTGAATAGGATGTTTTTTTTTTTTTGAAAAGATAAGTTTGAATAGGCACATGGAAAAGAAAGTGTTGGGCGACTACCCTCTCCTTATACCCGAAGGTAACATGACCAGAATAAGGAAATATTTCAACACACACATTTGTCAAATTTTATATTTTAAGGCAATTATTCAACAGATGGGTTTGCCCAGGCTATATAATGGACTTTCATTTATGAGTCTACTTTTGATTTTTTTTTTACTTCCTTGAAATTAACCTAGGTTTGCAATTATTTGATTTTATTGAAACAATTATTGGAGTTGTTACATACTGGCAGTTGGAAAAATCAATTTGTCAAGTTCGTCTTAACTTGGAACACGACAAAGAATTTGGAAAAATTAGAAGGTAATTTTCTGTTGAAATGTTTTGTTGTGCATCAGTGGATTATTTCAACAATGTGTGAACTTGAATTTTGATTGCTATAATATGAAACTGGCCATATTACATATTACTCTAAAGTAACTTAGGTGTACGACTTGAGCTTTCGTGCAACGACCATCCGTTATAGTTGCTAATTTGAGAATATATCAGTAGCACCTCTGAAATTGGTTCCACAAATTTGATACTTGGATTGATGTTCCAAGTCATCAAGTCAATTTTCTGAACTCATTTGTGAGTTGATATGCCTCAAATATATCATGTGAATTTTAATCCATGGTAACTGTTCATATTCAAGAGTGACAAGAACAGATGTTAGGTTAAGCTCAAAGTACATCCTTGGCTACTTTTAAAACACACACACATAATACTGTGTTGGGTTCTTTATGGGATTATAAGCTAGAAATTTTATTGGGTTCTTTTCTTTTGAACAGATAATTGGATTGACAGATAAATTGATGGAGTCCTATAGTGTGGATTAGTTGTAACCAATGTGATTTGAAGATATTTTCAATTGTTGGCTATTATAATATTAGCGTTCATAGTGTGTTTTTCTTTTACCACTGATATCTTTGCCTCTATGTAAATGAGTTATAGTTGCTTTTATGTATTTGTTTAATTTCTCAATATTGGTGTGCATGGTTATAGTTCTATGTATCTATACAAATAATGCCAATGAATTCTTTCTTTTTTTATTTTTTGATTGACAATTGTTTTCATTACATAGTGCCTTCAAGCGCCGGTTATTGCTTATTTTTTCATGTCCACGATCAATGCTCAAATTTTTTGAACTGCACAATGCCTTCGGGCAATGGTTATCGCTAGTAACAGTATAATGGAGAAACTCAAAATTAAAAGAAGAAAAACTCAAATTTAAAGAAAGATAAAATATAATCATTAAATTTAAAAAATAAAATAAAATCTAACAATGTGATTTGAGTAAATGTTTGACTATTTCTTGACCCTAATACTCTGTTCAGTATGATAAAAAAATAGAAGGATGAAAAAT